TCATCTACATTATGAAGAGCAGTAATCATGTGATCGTGTCGCGACTCGTTGGAGACGAGCGATTATTATGAATATAAGTAATCATATACTTTCTATTGGTAATCGCAAACTGGCAGATATAACAAGCTATCAATTATATCAGTAGAGGGGATACGAGAACGAGTTATTTTGTATCCTAATATTGACCATATATGAAATAAATTAACATGCTTTATTATTGCAACACCTACTTATCACATGAATTCCGAAGAAAAGAATTTGCTTTATTTCCTTTTAAATTTAATATTTTGAATTAGGGTGTCCAGATTTATGCGGCAAATATACACACACCCAGGCCAAAAGTTTAGGATCACCTAATAAAATTCAAATTATTGTAATTAATTTACTATTTATAATATAATATTATAATAAATTTTTATTAAAATTATAATATTCGAAATATGTATTAAATTATTAAATTAAAAAAGATTTTTTATAAATTATTTAATATTTTTTTTAAAAAAATTTTATATATAACAATGTAATATAATGTTTTACTGTATATATAAATATACATTATTAATATAATAAAATAAAAAAATTTTTAAAAAAATTAAAAATAAACTTAAAAAAATAATTACGTAGTTATAATGATTTTTAAATGATCACTTATTCATTGAGAATAATATATAACAACTTCAATAAAACTAATTTCATTATAAGTCTCAATAATTATTTGATTTATCTTACTTTTTATCAATATTGAAATAATCGAGGCAATAGGTTAAATATGGGTTTGTGATGATGAATTAATATATTGTAAACGTATTTTACAGTATTTTACATGTAATGGAATACTGTATTTATATTGACTTTGTTATGGGACGGAATCACTCTTAATCTGATCAAGGTCAACCAACGTGGTGGAACATTTAGTAAGATGATTCCGGTGCCCTGGTAAGGTGGCTCGACTGAGAGTGAATTCTATAAAATTCCTTATTTGTAAATTATGCTTCTCTATAAGTTTCCCTATATAGAATAGAGCGTGCAGAATGTTCCATCATACAGCATATTCATAATGTATTTTTTTTGACCTTATGCCAAATTAGTAAATTGATTCAAGTAAGTCTAATATGCAAATAATTAACGCTCTTAATAAACTTATAAACAACCTGAATTCGTTCCAAAGTTCGGAATTGCATTTAATATAAACGAAGTCATGGTTCTAAACGATATATTTTCCTTAATATTTGGCATTATAATTATCTACGTTTCACATTTTTACTACAAGTACTTCACTCGTGAAAATCCTCTCCCCGGACCGATTCCTCTTCCTCTAGTTGGTAATATCTCCTTAGTCTTTAATGATATCGGCGAGTGGCCAACTCAACTCCAAAAGAAATATGGAGACCTTTATGAAACCTATATAGGCACCCAAAGAATTATCTGGATCTGTAGCGAAGATTTGGTCCTCAAAATGTTGATACCATCGGCTCGCAATAACTATCATGGACGAACAATCCCAGATAACGAAGGCCTTAATGAAGCTGGATTATTAAACACCGGACTTGTCTATAACTTTAATTTTAAAACTTGGGAATATTATCGAAGGTTTTATGCGAGGTCAATATTAAGACTATCGTTTATTGTTCAAGCCGCAGATAGTGTCCAGGAAGTATTTAGCGAGATGGAGAATTATTGGGAACGGCTCGGAGAAGACACTGTTTTAGAATTTTCTCATTGGTCCAAAAGATATTTTATGGATACTATATTTTTTATAGCCGCTAGTAAACGCAGATATTCATTGGCTAGCTATTATAATAGTGTTTCGATTGATAAAAAGGTTCATGTGTCTGAAAGCAACTTGAAGGAAAGTGACACTTTCATAGATGCTGTTGATGGCTTTTTAATGTGCCTTCTATACTTTTTAGTACTTCCAAAATATATTCGAGACTTTCTAGGAATCAGAAGATACACCCAAAATCTAAAAGAAAAATTGAGCTGGCTAAGGATGAACATTCGTGACATTATTAAAGAGAGAAGAGAAGAGATAGAAAAAACGCCCGAAAATCAGGAGTTAGCCCATGATATATTAACAATGTTTATAACAATCAATACGTCACGTGACATTACCGAAAGGATTGCGGATAGTTTACACGACAGACCCATGACCGATGAAGAAATCTGTGGACTCTTTATAGAAACTTTATCAGGTGGAATAGATACGGTAAGTATTTATCACTTGGACATTTCCGTGGATCTCGTATATTAACATTATTTACAAAAATTATCTTATATAATTTAGTCGTCCAATAGTATCTGCTTCATAATTCATTATTTATCTAATTATCCAAAAGTTAAAGAAAGACTGATAGAAGAGATTGATCGAGTCGTGGGGAAAGATTTAAATCATAAGGTTACTTATGAAGAAATAGGAAAACTCGAATATTGTGAAGCTGTAATTAATGAATGTATGTAACAGGCACTTACTAATACGACTAGAAAAAAAATGACACGTAAATTCAACTTTTCCGAAATTTTTATTTACTCTCAGGCTCACGGATATTCTCAACTTTTCCAATGGGAACCAGAACAAATACTAGTCCTGATGAGATTGATGGTCTGACGTTTCCCAAAAACACACAATTCTTCATCAATTTCCAAGGGATTCATAAACACAAATCTTTATGGAAAGATCCGGAAGAATTCAATCCGGATAGGTTTATGGATAAAAGCAATACAGAAATCAAAAATCATCTTTACACTTTTGGTGGCGGACTGAAGAAGTGTAAGTCATCTTATCTATTGACGTTTTTTTATTGCATTCGTGATTTTTTTGAACGAAGAAAAAATTATTTTTATTTTTAATAGGTCCTGGAAGAAACTTGGCGATGTTAGAGTTAAAGCTTACTCTGGCGCTGTTATACAGAAAGTATGATGTTGAACTGGTGAATAGGGATGCCCCGATAAAATTTAGTACCACCGCACTTAGGACTTGCCATGAGCTGAAAGTTCGGATTAAGAAAAGAAAGACTTAGCGATCGAATTTTTTATTACGTTAACAGATTCAAACTGTATATTATATGTTTAAAAAAATCATTATTTATATAAAACTCTTTAAAATTCAATAACTATAAACGCAAATTTCCGAGTATAAATTTTCAAACTCATTTATTGTTGATAATACAGTATACTGATCACAAAATAGATTAACTATTGGCACTCGGTTTTTTTATTATAGTATAATGAATAATAATCAAATAAAAACGATACTTTTGCAATATAACTTTATTTGAGAGAAAAAAATAAATATAATTATAACATGGAAAGAGTTATATCTAAAAATAGTTATCTGGATTACTTATATTGTATAAGGAACTGTCATCATATGTATTTTTCCAATATTTTTGAAATATGTGATTAAAAGTCTACTTGTAAAAGATGATTCAGAATGTGTTAAGTCAAACAGATTTTGGTTTTAAATTGCACCTTTCTAGTAACTTATTCGGCGCTCATTAGCATATCCACCTTCAGTCGATTTGAGTTACCATTAAAATACATTATATTTTTTTTACGGTTTCAACTCCAAAATTAAAAATATCTAAACATTGAAACTAAATCAAGCAGCGTAGCGCAGGGGAAGCGCGTGGGGCTCATAACCCCAAGGTCGGATGATCGAAACATCTCGCTGCTAAATTAATTTAATATAATTTCGGGTATCATTTAAATGCTTTTTTATTGTCTTTCGTGGTTCCAACTCCATAACAACATCCAATATTACATTGTCCACGAGCATCTCAACCTTTTGACCGATCTTTGGTACTATCGAAATGTTTTTCCATCATTGGTTGATTTTAGATATCATTGAAATGTAATTTAATTATATTTCGTGTTTCCTAACTCAGCCGGTGTAGTTCTAAATTTTCTGATTTGTGTTTGTTTGCTATCAGTAAATTTAAATAAATTTTCTGTGAAAATATCCATTACATTACTTATTTATATCTGACTTTAACTTTTTTTCGGTTTCTTCGGTAATTTTTCTCTTTTCGAGACTATTGCTGGAAAATTATATTTCGGTATTATTTTCTATCACTTTATCCATTCTACTATTTAATCCTGAAAATATTATGGTACAGTATTATTAAAAAATCTCTGTCATGTATTATATAATATATTTTTTATTTCTTATGTTCAGCAAACTCGTGATTATCTTCGAAATCAGAAAATCAACATTTTACAATCCGCAATACTATTCTGCGCCCATATACTCCGAAATTAGATGCTCTAGATAAATTCAATGTAGAATGAAAATTGACATTAGTAAATGAAGGAAAGACATATAATCATCATTTTTTATTAAATATAAAAAATAATTATATTATTTTGGCAATAAAATTATAGTTGTTGAAAAACTTTTCGGGATTTTTATTGACATGACCTAAATGTAAATAACTATTTCGAAGCAAAGATTTTCTAATTAAATTTATTTTTTATAAACAATTATTATAATGTTAACTTCAGAAAAAAATATATAACGACAAACTATATTACATTTGTGAGATAGAAATCACATTTTCAAATGAAATAATATTCTTAAACTAACATAAATAAAGTAGTTAACTATTACAATCTTAAAAAAATAAATTCCAAAGATAATAATTCAATAACCGATAAAGTTATCTTAAAAAGTTTACTTATAAACATAAAGAAGATTTATACAGACTTGAACAAGACGAAGAGATTCGAAATGCATTAGACTTATATGTGCCACCGAAAGGAAAATGGTCTCCAAATTCCACAGAATCTTTTGAATTAAAGACTGAGGTAGATTCTTTCTTAATTTCAGAAAAAAGGGTTTTATTACTTTTAGGTGAGGCTGGAGCAGGAAAATCTACTTTTAACTGTCATCTTGGCCGACGTTTTTGGGAGGATTATTCCTTAAAAGACGGACTAGATAATAAACCTGTTCCTATATTTATTTCACTTACGACTATAGAAAATCCTAATGAGAAAATAATTCAAAAGTATTTAGGAGAAATAGGCTTTTCCAATGAAATTATCGAAAATTTAAAACAAAAATA